GGGGCTGGGGCTGCCTTGCCGCGCCGAGTAACGCGGGCGCGCAGCGGTGGGGACTGCCGAGCTCAACAAGCCATTTTCTCCCCTGTGGAGCAGCCTGGTGTGACTTCCCGCAGAATGATATTTTTTAGGGGGCTTTTTGGAGGTGGCATTTTTTCCCCCTCCCTTTTTCCAGCCCCTCGCTGCATACACTTAAGCTGGCTGAAGGGTTGCCTCTGCCTCTCTGGCTGCATACGCAGCACTCGTGTTGTCCTAACGATATGGCAGTAGCACTTCCTGCTGTAAATCACTTCGCGATAGTTTTTGAAGCGCTTCTTAAAGGCGGCACTGTAATGAACCCTCCTGTCGGCGCCTGTGGTAAGCTTAAAACCTTGTGAGCTAAAGGCTGTTTTCAAGACTGATGTGTGTAATGTGCTGCCATTACTTTTGACAGAAGTGGTAGAAATGTAGTCTCCTGTTGGCTTAGTCTTGGCATAAATGTAATTCCCCTTGCTGTGCCCTACTGGTGCATGCTCTGTTGTTTTGGAGCCAGTTGTAGTTACCTTCGCCGTCTTCTTATTGTGAAAAAAGCTAGTTTCAAATAAATGTTCGTAGATGCAGGTGTATTAAGCAAGAACTATGAAGAGTAAGCTTTATTATAATGCTGTACTGGGGATAGCTCTTCATTCTGGAATAATTTGAGAAAATAGAATCACTTAAGATTAAAATTTATGGGGACTTTAATTTAAAAACCTTAGCTGTTAGCATAATATTTTAACTAAATAGATGTATTAATGTAGGTTGCTATTATTATTTATTGCTATTTTGATGTTTCTTTCATATATTAAAAATATTTACTGAATTAGTCTAGAGATCTTTTATTTTGCTCTTTGTATGAACATCTTCATATAAAATAGTCTTGCTGACTCTTTTTCCAGCTTATTAATGCCTTTTTCCCTCAAAAAAATTTCAGAGCACGGTCAGAAGAGGAATGGATGTAACATGATATCCTTGGAGTGCTCAAAACACACAAATTCTGCAAAGATTTGTTTTTTGGTTAAGTAATACAAAGAAAATGGATGAATCAGCTTTGCTGGATCTGTTGGAGTGTCCTGTTTGCTTAGAACGCCTTGATGCTTCTGCGAAAGTCTTGCCTTGCCAACACACGTTTTGTAAACGCTGTCTGCTGGGCATTGTGAGCTCTCGAAATGAGCTTCGATGCCCAGAGTGCAGGACTTTAGTGGACTGCAGTGTTGACGAACTTCCCAGTAATATTTTGCTTGTTAGACTACTGGATGGCATCAAACAGAGGCCTCGAAAACCTGGCACTGGTGGTGGGACTGGTAGCACAAATGCTTTAAGGGTCCCCATCAACACTGTAGCTAATTGCGGATCAAAGGACCTGCAGAGCTCTCAAGCTGGACAGCAGCAAAGGGTGCAAGCACGGAGCCCTCCTGTTAGGGTAAGTACTGTGTGATGACGGTATTTTGTTGCAATCGTATCTTTTCCTTCACTGTTTCAAAACAGTTGATGACCTCTGCTTCAGGATAAGGGCAGTCAGATAGTAAGTACGGCAATTCTTGAGAATTGTTGTACATTTCTAGCAAAACACATCAGTGTTCTTAACAGTATTGGTTTACTGTTATGTAAATACCAGTAATAATACTTCCTTATTAAAACTCTTAGTTGTTGAGGTAAGGAGAAGAAAAGCATCTCAATACCTTAACTGTCTTATTAAAAGGAAGTCAAATAAAACAAGATAATTTATGTGGAAAGCTTAAGTAGTTGTTAAGGATAAACATCTTGTGAAGGACACTTGAAATTGTTCTTGGTTTGTCAGCTGCAAGATTAGAGATTTGATTTTGGCTCTTGCGCTTTCTGTAATGATCCTGACTATCAGTAAATTTCCTTTGAGTTAGATGTAGCGAATGTTAGACATGAGCAGGGAAGCTACGTTCTTGTTGATGAAGGTTTTGCCATTGGCTTCTAAGGAGCTACATTTTTACTTCTCTTCCTTGAAAAAGAAACCTTTGAATTATTGTGGTCTGGTAAGTTACTTGTAGTCTCAGTCCTCACCCCTTCTTTAATTAGTTTTTCCTCAAAGTATTTTTTCTAAGTGATTTGGAAAATCTATATACTGTGATACAAGTCAGACATTGCCTTCTGACTGTAATCCTGTTCTTTCCTAGGATCTATGCAACCTGTAGCCTCTGTCATACCTGATAATCAAGACTTAGTAGTCTCATTTATGATTATCCATTCTAGAGCCTGTATTGGGAAATATAATTTTATGAGGTGACTGACCTTGCTCTGTTTTATCTAATGACAAGGCAGAACAGCTGCTCTGAAAGGTCTTGGTGTCTACTTTGTGATGCTTGCATATTCAGATTTCCTGTGTTTGAAGTGGAGTTTCAGAATGGTTTAGGTAGTTTCCTTCTTGTGAAGTTTATTTTAGTTTTAAGAAATGTCTTAAGGAGTCAAAGGAGAGGGCTTAAACATGTATTTGGTAGGGCTAGTCTTTATTTTAAAGTATAGCTGAATGATTTAGCTTACTTGCCCAGAGAAGGAAGCCTTACACTGATTTGTCCTCAGTTGTGCTTACATGATTGGAATCTCTCTAAAACATGTTAGATACACCTCTTAAGTTTGCATGAGGATTTAAAATATAGGTGTTCTTTCATTAGATTGTATTGTTTTCTCTGCTTAGTAGAGACTCTCATTAGGTTCTTTACTTTAGAATATAAAAATAATAATATCATGCCACTCCCTGTTAATGAGTTTTGTTTTGTATATAGATTAATTGGTGTGGGAGGAGAGAAGATGATGTGTGGTAGTTGTTTGGTTTTGGTGTGTGTTTTTTTTTTTTTCCTTTCGGAAGGTAAACCTTAAAAAAAAAAACACCTTAAAAAATACTGCAAAAAAGCTTCAGCAGTCTGGTCTCCTTAAGATGTTTACCATGATACCGTGCATTTGCAAAAGCTCTTCAACTTAAAACAAAGCAAAATACCCATATAACTTGTTTTTATATTTTCATGTTGACCTTTGTAAATAACTGTATTTTCAGAGACTGCTTCTCCTCCAAAAAGGCTTCTGGTGCAGCAATGTATTACATATGCAAATGACTGCACTTCAGAGTTTCTCAAAGCCTTATTAGAAAAAATAACTTGAATATGCAATCTCTCTCTCTTTTTTTAATGTTCTATAATATCCTGTTGTGCAACATTTGCATTTCCAGATGTTGCACAGAGTAGAAAGTGATAACATATGGAATGTTGCTTCAGTTTATTAGTTATACTGTGCCATGTGCCATTGAAATTGTGACCGTGTACATTCCTCATGCAATTAACTGCAACTTAGTGTATATTAGTGATAAATTTTGGCATTTTACAGTAAGTCTGAATACATGTTTGTTTCTGGGGTCTCACAGGCATTCTTGTGTCTTCCTTCCTTTGGGAGACAGGGAAAGGTGATCTTATCTTTTGTCCACTTTGTCCAGAGCCTTTTTTACTAGGAAGGCAGTACTTTTAAGAACACGAGCTGACTCTGAGGTATAAGAAAGGGGGAGATAAGAACAACTTCTTTTTCTATATGAAAAGTGTTTTTTAAAAAAAAGTCCAGAAAGCAAAATGCCAATTTAATGGGCGATGTTGAAGTGAATGCCCTATTTGTTTTGCTAACTATAACGTAAAGATGGTTGCAAATACAGCTCCTCTCTGGGAATTGGAGAGGAAAATCTGTTTCTAGATGAGTGGCAAAGTCAGATTTCCTAAACTAATTTTGCTGAAGGGGAACTAGTAAATGAAAGTTGCTGTTATGTTAAATGAAGTGAACGTGGATGAAGGCTGTCAAGTCATAAACATTCGGCTTATACCCTGAAGTAATACTAAGCTCATAAATGCCCTTTCAGAGGTTGCCATAATTTTCAGAAAAGGTTAACACAGCATGTACTGCAGCATGATTTCCTGAACTGTATCAATTACTATGGAGTTGCCAGCCCTGTTATTGCACAGTACTGTGTATATTGCATTCTCTGTATGTATGTGGTGACACATGGCAATAAACAAACAAGTGGTTCCTTGAGTCTTAAAACTAATGAAGCTGGGTGGGTGGTGGGGATTAACAAATCTTGTGCCTTGTATCTCCCCCGCTGCAGTAACCCTGTTTCTTTCTGTAACCTCTATAATCTTTCACTGCTGTAACAACTGCAATTTCTTCCTGCGAGTTCTTAACCTCTTTCTATTCCCTGCTATTTTAATACATAAAGCCTTCTGCGCCTTTCCCAGGGTATTGGTTGGACAAAGGCAGCATACTGCTGTACCTGATGGAAAACTCTGTTTGCTGACTGCCCAGCTCTTCTGTTCTGAGCAGCCAGCTTGCCTGGGAGAACAAATAATAGTTACGCTCATGCTGCAGCTTCCTCTCTGGTATGGATGCTAATTTAATGCTTTTCTCTTTCTTTTTTTTTTTTTTTTTAAGTGAAAACCTTCAGCTAGGTTGACAGCTTGGAAGAGCTTAAGAACCGCAGCCTGCTGTCAAATCTGCTTGGGACTGGTCATCAGGAGCAAGTTATTGAGGGCTGTTGAGGGACTGCATGATCACATGAGCCTTGTTTCCTTCAAAAGAGCATATGAAAATTTTAGGGTACTTACTTTCAAATTTATGCTCATGTTATTCATCTTGTCATTTTCACAAAGTATGTCAAACAGGTATTATCTTAAGTTCCTTATGGTAGTTTTACAAGGGTATGCTTATTGCAGGAGTCTTAAACATACCTGTGTGCATAAGTTGATAGATGTTGGAGAGCTGTTCTAATTTCTCTACTAGAGGATAGATTTAAGATAATACACATTTAACTTTTCCCTTGAATTTGTACATGCCTGAGACATATCAGTTCTCCTGCTAGTTTCTTTATAGTCCAGGTTTCTGAAGTTAGGGCTGTCTTCTCAGCAGAACCTAGAGCGGAGTTGTCTAGATAGTCTGAAACCTCATCACTGTTGTTCTGTTCAGAACCACTAACGTGCGAGATGTTTGCAATAAATTCTTTTAAACTGAGGAGGAAAGAAAAAGCCACAAACAGGAGGTTATTCTGTGAGTTACTGCTAATGCTCAGCTGTGTTGGATTGTAGTATAAACCCACACGTCCATTCTCATGCTTGTGTAACACAGGAATGCAACAGTAAAATTTTAAATTCCCACATCCATACTGCCACAGCAGCGGTCATTTGTGATCCAGTAGGCTTGCCTGGGAACTGCTGAAGCAGCTTTAATGCCAAAAAGGAAAATAAATGGAGCCAGGTTCTCTTCCCCCAGCCGTGGTGTTCGAACTCTGCACACAACTTGGGGCAGTAGGGACGATGGGCCACCTTCTGGTCTGTGAGGATTTACGCAGGTCAGGCTTTTCTGTCTGTTAGACTCAGCGTATGATGTTAGCAATTGGTTTTCTTTTATCCTAACCACCCTGGAGAAGAGAGCTCAGGGTGGCAGCTCGCACAGTTTGACTATTTAGCAGGATTCAAAAACCTGATAGGAGCTGAAACAAGTGCTGCTGTTGTAGCCACGGCGCTCGCTGGCCTACTGAGATCCTGGCAGAACTTAGTTGTCAGAGGAAACTTCTCAGATTAGAAAGCTTCTAATGATTAGAAAACAACAATGGGACTGAAAATGTGAGTTCATAGATCAGTAACTTTATTAAAGGATTGAAATTAAATGTGGGGATCGCCAAGCATAGCAGCAGGTGTAGATTGGAACAGATGTTTAAATCATCTGTGAACAAGAGTTAGCAGAATGAAACAGTACACAGAAATGTCATCTCAGTAAACATCTGCTGCTCAGGTACTCTTAGAAGAGGTTCACATTGTGGTAATAGATCAGATTGCAAAGTATGCCACTCTGGGGGAAAAAGTGGTTGTAGAAATATGCAAGAAACAGTGGCTAATGCAGTTAATTTCATGATTGGTATTTGTGATGGTAGGCTGGAGAATCATTACTTGATGATACCTGATTTTGAGGATTGTGTTTGTACAAATTTGTACAAAATCTACTTTCCCCCTTATTAAAAAAAAAACCAAAAGTGTATCTTCTGTTGTCTGTGTAGTTTTAATTACGTGTTCCTGCGTGTATTCAATCCTATGAAAGTAAGGAGTGTTGAGGTGCAACTTTAGCATGTGAAATATCTTAATTTGAGAATGTGGAGATAGGCGCCTATTCATATTCCGGAGTGATCATTAGAAAACATTTTGGGAAGTCTCTCTAAATCATGTATGCACATTTTTGTTTCCTCTCACGCTTTCTGAAATACCAGATTCTACTTTTACATTTACAATTGCTTGTACAATTTTAATTCCTTCCTTGTAACACTTTTGTGTCCTATGTTAAGCTAGAGAAAATTTAATGCAGATTATAAATATAAAAGGAAAATAGACTGTCTCTCATGGTGTTAATGTGTTTCCTCTCAGAGATAAG